AGCTGCTTCTGCTGGGATTTAACCTTAATAATTACCTTATTCACACCAGTGCTTTCCCTAGTTACTCCAAGAATAATTAACATGAGAGCACAGGCACAACAGAATAAACACCCTTTCTCAGTAGATGCACACTCCTTGTCTAATAAGAATCCTCTTGGAAATTTCAGTTCTTACTTATTCTCTGTAAGGTCCTGAAACCTCTTGCCAAACAGATGGTCTAATTCAAACTGATATTGAAAATATCAACTCTGTTTTTGCTCACATCTATTTTAAGCACAGCAACAAATTAAGTTCAGAAAAAAAAATATGCTGATGAGCCCAAAGGAATGGTATTTAAAAAAAAAAAATAATAATAATGAAATGGCAGGATATTTGGGCATATGTATCCCAATCTTAATCGGCAGCCAAGTTAAGCAAAATTCAGGCAAACTGCAGCCCTTGCTTGTTAAGAAGACAGAGCCCATGTGTGCAGCTGGGTGGCACTGGGGGCCACAAATTACTGCTACCCCCCACGTGCTTGCCACGCTACGTGATGTGGGTCAGGTCTTTTGTTATTTCCTACGTTCAAGGTACAGGGATGCTAAAATAGCAAGGCGTACCGACGCTGTTCTGTAACTTCGTCATTCTCCTTGCTGTGTACAGAGGTGGGTAGCCCAGTTTCACTTCAGATAAATGTACGGTGCCAGGACTGAGCTCCCAGGGGCATTCCTCAGAGCCTCGGGGACTGATGAGCTGCTGTGCGGGGAGGGAATGTTTTCAAATGAAGGAGGAGAGGGGTGTTCTGCTGCTGGAAATGCATGAAATGAGTCAAACACATTTTCAAAACAGGAAACGTTAATAATTCATGAATGTTCATCTTCGAACAGTAGTGTTTTTCAAGAAGGTTTTTATGTGACAACTGAACTGATAAATTGCCCCCTCTCGCTGAAGTAGAACAGGATATATATATATTTTAAATAACTGGAAATGTTTCTGCAATTTCATTAATATTTTTCATGTTCTCTTTCTGTTCCTGAATGAAATATCAATAGCAGGCGGCAATAAATAACTCTGGCCTTTTGGAGCCTGAGTATCAAACTGCATGCCTGTGAAGATAAGGAGCACATTTGCTGTACCCATTATGCACGTGAGGTGTTTGCACGGGAACACCAAACCAGCAGAAATGCTGGACGAGGCTCTGGGATATGTCCTGTGGTTCTGTTCAAGTCTTCCAGCTTGCAGCAATACCCTGTCAGGTTTTAACCTCCCAATGTTTATATACCAGCAGTTCTCTCTGTGATCTCTTCAGCTGCAGCTTGATTTCTTTTTAAATTGCATCTTGACGTTTTCATTTATTTTTGAGGATATTTTCACAGTCCGGATCTGAAGGATTTGTTTCTGATTGATTTACTGTAGGACACGTGAAAGGCTTTCAGGGTACAGCCTTTAGCAATGCTCTGACAGGCCAAGGCGATATCCATGGGGAGCGAGGGAGAACTTGGATCTGTTGGGCCTCCAGCAAGCAACCAGTGGCTTTCCTTTTGTGGTCCAGAAGTCACCTCTGGCAGCCTTGTGCACTCTGGGACCGAAGGAGGGCTGGAGAAGACGGGGTGCCCGGCTGCCCAGTTGTTCACTGAGTGCTGACACTGGCTTTGTGGGTCAGGAAGGGGTTCAGGGAGCAGCAGGAAGACTCCAGCAGGAGGCTGTGCTGGAGAAGTGCAGTTGCTGTTGCTTTTCTAGCTTGCTTTGTCTACTGTCATCAGGCTGTTTCCTCTCTGCTCCCAGTAATTACCCTAACAGTATTGATTTAATCCTTTCAGGCCTCAGAGAGCTGTTTGAATAACAATGAGTTAATCCTCCTTACCAACCAGCAGTCCTGCAGGACTGAGGGGAAGGGGAAGCTCACTCCTGAACTCGGGGCATGTCACAAGCCCACTTTGTTCAGAAGAGTGGCTGTTGATGGGGGAGTGACTGGAGAGGGCTGAAGAAGAGGATGGCAAAGTGTCAGGGCAGGTGGAGGCCTGGCCTTGGGCGTAGTTCACAGTCCCAGGCAGCGGTTCACCTGGGAGCTGTGCCACTGGGCAGCCAAGAGGATTTTCAGCTCTTGGTCTATTATATCTGCAGTGGTGCTTTGTGAAGCAGCTGATAAAGGACTTGCCAGAGCCATGTTGGCCTCTTAGACTTGCTGAAGTCCTGACACGGCAGAAGCGAGACTTGAAAAAGGCATTGAGAGAACAAGTACACATGGAAGTGTGTGCATTCCTAGTGAGGAGAAGATGGGAAATGAGTTTCTTCAGTGAAGGGAAGGCAGAAGGCTCAGAAGGTAAAGATGCTCCTACTGCTTCAGATCATCAGTGAGTCTCAGCATCAGGCCATGTCTCCATTCACTTGATGCTGGCACCTCTGATGCATCTAGCGATACCCTGCCCGCTAGCGCCTGATGAGGTATAATCAAGGGTAGTTGAGTGTGAACATATTCTCTGCTTTAAGAAACCAGAAGCTACACGTGTTAACTTTGAGGACAGTGAAGGAAATTTTGTATAAATTCCATGTATGAAGGCATGCCTATGGGAAACACAAACTCAAATCTCTCTTGCTGTGGATATACAGTCTTGGAAACCTCTGTGTTACAGAAAGGTGCATGTATTCTCACTCCTGGTCTTGTGATTCATTTGTTGTATCTCATGTACAGAAGAATGTGAGTATTGATCTAGGCCATTAAAGCATATCATACATCTCATATTTTATCAGCAGTAGCTGCATGCAAGGACAACATAATAAATAGTAAAATGTATTCCTGTTCATAAATTCCAGCAGTTGATTGCTCTGCTCAGGGTGACTAATAAGAGTTATGGTCTTAGCAGTGGAAAGTTGAGGAGCTGTGTATGAGAAGTAATGTGTATGCAGTAAATTTTGTGAGGAACGAGATTTCCTTCTCGTCCCTTCTTCGCTTCCTAATACTACACTCGGTCTTGAATACGGGTCTGCTGATATACCGGTCGCAGATGATTATAGCAACATCATGAGTCCAGCCAGTAGGATCTCCTTGTGTATAAGTCTGCAGGGTGAGAGTGTAATTACCTACTGGCTTTCCAGAATCACTAAGAATATGACTAATGTTAAAAGTTTTTTTTTTGTTTTTTTTTTTTTATTTCCTCCTTGTTTTAATCCAAACCCTCTATAGAATGTGAACCTCCAGTAATGACTCACTGGGCAATGAGGCAGCAATCTCAGACACTGTAACATGATGCAGAAAAGGTCATACACTTGCTTTCATAACAGGATTATTCATTCATTCATTAAAAATTAATCACATGGGAACACATGATGTATTCAAGTTTGCGAGTATTGGTGAATATTGTAGTTTCTTGAGTCATGGTCAGTTTTTGTGAGTTGAAGTTGCTCCAAGTGTGTGTTTTTGTGTTTTGTTTATTAATTATTATTATTATTATTTTACAGCTAGTTATTGGTACCTATAACATAAAGATAAATATCTTGGGGGCCATAAGGAGGTACACACAGTTTCAGAATCATGGCTGTGCCTTAGAGCAATGTCTGCATTTTGCATTTTTAGCTATTGCAATGAGCTTACATTTGAAAGAAATATATGAAGTTCTGTGTTATTTATCTCTTTTGATTGAAAAGTTGCTGGGTCGTATTTGTACTGTGAGAAGGATTTTTGTGTATTTTTTTCTTTTTTGAAGCGGAGTCACATGGAAAAATCAATATCCTCCAGTGTCTTGTGGCTGTTACCTCCTTCAGCCTGATAACATCTGGGTTTTATTTCCCATGCTAGAAAGCAGCTACAGAAGGTTTCACAGAATCATTTAGGATGGAAGAGACCTCCAAGATCACCTAGTCCAACCTCTGACCTAACACTAACCAGTCCTCCACTAAACCGTATCACTAAGCTCTATACCTAAACGTCTTCTAAAGACCTTCAGGGATGGTGACTTTCCTAGAGCTGAGTGTGGTACTGTGGAATTAAGAACATAAAACCAAATGTATCTGGGTATACAGCACCGTGTAGTCTAGTACAGGGCTTCCTTGGCCAGCATCAGATGCCCATGAAAGAATCCAAGAACAGGGAGAGCACGTAGTGGCAGACTGACTCAGCATTGTGTTGAGGCTGATACTTTTGAGGTTAATAGCTTTCAGCAGACTTCTGCTTAAGTGAATTTGTCTAATCACATTAGAACTTGAGTTGGCTTTGGCCATCCACAGCAACTCGAGGCAGGATGTTTTGCAGTCTGAGGAAAGGGCATATGAAGAATTATCTCCTTTTGCTTATTCTGAGCTTGGTGTTTGGTAACTTAAGTAGAAGTGTATGGCATCAAATTGAGGGGAAAAAGTGTTTTCCTTTTCACTGTCACTGTGCCACTCATTTTGTGGATCCCCAGCACATTCCCACTCAGTTCTTTGTAAGCAAAGAAGAAAAAAATCTGTCTATGCAGTTGTTTCACAGGAGCAATCTGTGGGCTTTGGAGCTTTGTTCCTGCCCTTTCCTCTATCTTGTCGAGTTGCAAGATGCTAAGATGAGGACCAGAACTGCACCTAGTATTCCTAAAGTGGTAGGGCCTTGAACTTATATAGTGTATAATTAAGCACTCTGTTTTCTCTAATTCTACTTAATAACTGCTAGTGTAGAGCTTGTTTTTTACCTCCCATTAGTAATAACTGTCTCCCATTCCCACATTGTATAGAACTCTGTTGACCTGATTTTGTTGAGAACATAGGAATATACAAGTGACAAGATAAACTTTGAGGTAAAGGCTTCGGTTACTGTTAAAAATTTGCTGATGCAATCAAGTCCTATATGAGGCTGTAACCTTGACAAGTATTTAAATGACTTTAAAGTCCATTTCCAGTTCAATGTTGTAAAGAATTTCTGTTATTCAAGAGCTGGGTAGCAATTCAGGTTGGTTTCATAGCCCAAATGTATACAGAGCTGTACTGTACTTGCATGTCAGCAGGCATCTAAGTTTTGTTTGTTTGTTTGTTTGTTTTTTTTGTAATTGCAGGTATTTATGAGCCGCCATTTCTTATACTATTGTGGTGAACCTACCCTGGATGTGAAGATTGCCTTTTGTCAGGTGTGTGTTCCTTACAGGTAAAACAAGGTACAGTATATACTTGTACTTTATTTTTGCAGTTATACGCTCATATTTAAAAATAAATATTTTTGGGAGCATATTGCAAGTAAGAATTAGAGTAAATACAAAAGCTAAAAGAATGCATAACAGAAATTACATTTCTATTTAATTTGATTGCCATAGTTTGCTCTGAATGATTTGTTGTGTTTTTTTTTGCCTTTACCAAATATCTGTTAATGTGAGGTTTTTTTATTATTTGTTTTTTAAGGAAAAACAATAACAATTTGCAAACAGAAAATAATCTTGGCTGCACTACCCATAAATTTAATGAAGAATCAAACAAAATCCTTTATGCAAAATAACGGTACGCATATAGATGCTTTCACAGAATTAATTCACAGATTGTGAATTCAAAGTATTTCATCTTAGCTTCTCTTTTTGTGAGACAGAGCCTTCACATTGTAATCTAAGAATAACATTTTTTGTCCATTACTCTATGTTTACTGGGAGTATAGGGAGGGCAACTGAATTTTTGTTGCGTTTGTTTCGTCTCCAGTTGAGCAAAATGTGCTATGCAGGTTTCAGAGTCATGAGACTGTGCTGTAGCCAATTCTGTACTTTAAATTAGCCTCAAAGTGGTTTGGTCACAGTGCCTTGAATTCTGCAAAACTCAAACTAACTTTGGGAGGTGGAGAAAAAGCATATTGCCTAGTCCAATTTGGGGTTCTTTTGGTTAGATTAAGTTAATTAACATACATTGGTGTCAAAACTGTAAACGTGTTTCCATTAGGAATGAAAGATGACTTTTTAGTTTGCTTCTTATAAAGTGGTGTTTGAACTCTTTTTCTTCATAATTATTATATATATATATTTATTTTTTTTTTGTGTGAGATGGGACACCAGAAATTGGACTGTGTGGAGGGACATTAAGGGATATTCTTCATTTTTTGAGGGGTGAAACCAGTGCTGCATTCCTAGAAATGGAATTTGGTAAACACTTGTTTTCCCCTTTATTTTGCTTACATTCCAGGGCACAAGAAAGTGAAAGTACAATTTTCACAAATAAAGGGCTATAAGTTATATCTAAGCATGTAAAGCAGAGCAGTGACAGGTGTTGAGTTTAGTTCTGTTTTTTTTAACACAGCTGTACAAAATACTTGTTTTGCTGAGAAGGTTGACCGTGCCCTTCCTAAGTTATCAGCTCTAGAATGGAGCTTGGATTTTGGGTTTGATAATCTGTTTAACAGCCTTCTCTATCCTTTCTCCTGTTCTTTATGTGCATACGTTTTTCTTACTTAATGCTTTCCAACGTAATTTCTAGCTTAATTGTTCCACTGTTTTCTGCTCAGTTTTGATAATTTGTTCTGTAGGTGACTGCAATAAATAGCCTGATATACCATCCTCAACAAAATCTGTACAAATCTCACAGATCAGGGATAAATAACTTTGAAAGAAAACAGGATTTTTACAAATATGGCTTTCTGTAATTTTTGGACAATTTGCTTAGGAAAAAAAAAGTTCTGCAGAAATTGCAAAAAATGTTTTTCCACATGTTTTATGAAAAAGGAATTAGATATGAAAAGGTTATTTTCAGTGTGCAGACTAGCTTTTTTGCACAGCTAACTTTCCTCTCCCTTCTAGTTACACCAAAGAAGAGCTGAACAGAAACATTTCTATTTTACATGCACAAAGGCAAGGTACTTTCCATCTTCTCCTCTTATGCTCAGTGCTCCTTTAGCTTGGCCGTCAGTCAATGTTTGACAATGCATAGCAAATGCTTTCTGTCACTGTACTCTTACTTCTTGATTTAAACTGTAATGAAGCCATGCTGCTATAATTATTCCTTTGCTGTTACTCTAGCTTACTAGAAAGTGTTCACAGCCACATACAGAAAGGACTGTACGTACAGCGTTTTTGTTTAAGAGTATGCGATGAAATCGACAGCGTTTTGGATGAATTTTTATCACTAGATGAAGCTTATTCATGTTTAATGCCTGCAAGCAGGTATCCAAAAAGGAGTCATCTAATAAATAAATGCAAGAGATCCTATTCTGGCATTGCAGCAAACAAGACTTTATCCCTCAAGCACTTATTGCACAAATAGCTTTTCAAGGTCTTCAGATCTCCCAATTTATCCCCCTCAGGATAAAAGCTAGTTTAGGCTTCACATTAATTTATTCTCTCCAGAAAGATAGGCCATGGTCCAAGTAACAGTTAAGCACATACTTAACTTTAATTCATAGGAAGTGTTCTCATATTTAAATGTTTTGTTGCATTAAGACCTTAGCTGTCACAGGTGGTGTTCGTTAGTATTGCATAGGGCAGAACATGGAATATATGTTCAACCTGCTAATATTTGGTCTGGAAAAATTCTGCCTACTGAATCAGTAAGTCTTAAACATCGGGGACTGCTGTTAGCAAAAGATGATGTGACAGAGCACTCAGCAGCAGCAACAGGTAGATAGCGCCACTCACCTCTTGAGGTACTTATAGAGGGCAAGGATGCCAGTAGTATCTGGATAAGAGACCCCAAAAATGAAGTTTGCATTGTTGAGAAGTGAAATACTGAAAAGTACTCCAGTGATTGTTACCGGTGAGGACATATATTGTAATAACTGTTTTGTGGTGACTTCTCTCTCATGGCCTAAACGGCATAGCTTTTTGTTCTGTTATGGAAAAAGAGACATACACCTGGTTTTAGGCTGCTCCTCTTAAGATGGATCTTCTGGCATTGTCTGCTAGTTTTGTATGTTGAGATGCTAGCTCAGCATCATAAGAATATTAACTCATGGAATTCATGAAACTCATGGGCTTCCAACTCATGGAAAAGGAGGAGCCCTTTCTGAGTAACAGACAACAGCATCAGGAGGGTAAAAATGCTTTTTCTGCTTGTTAGTTAGATGTTTTGCTGGAAGAGTTACCTTTTGTTGGCTGATGAAAAGCATATCTGCTTTCCTAAAATAATAGAAAGGCAGAACAAACAGAACTTCAGCTTTCAGAATTTCATGAGACCTTAGTAAGGCTGATATTGCCAACATGTCACATCTATAGGACCCTAGACATCCTTATTGAAGTACTGTATAATGCAGACCACTGTGTTTTGAGTAGAACAGGACATGAAAGTGCTGAATGTTAACTAAATGCCTAAAGGATGTCCTTCTGTGGGTGGCCTTCTTTAAGATATGGTCATTTGGTCATTTTTAACCATTGTAATACAATTTATAATTTTTTACTTGAAGCAGTAGTCCTAAATTTTCTTGTCTTGAAAAACACATCTTTATTACTGTTTTCTATGTCACAGTATTTCCATAATGCTGCAATAATATTTTTTTGATCAAAAGCAAACAGTCAGTGGGATTCTGAGATGAGATAACTGGGACGTAGCCATGCACACTAAGAAAAGGTTTAATGTGAATCAGCAATGCAAAGTCACATGCTAATTCCTCAGTGTGGCATCATTATTAGTCTTCACTGGACAGTTTAAACAACTTGATGCCCAGATACAATATGTTTCTGCATCATGGTGCTGTACTGATGCTACCCTCAGAACGAATTTTCAGTTTGCACATTGAGAGTATTTTTGCAAACTTATACTCAGTTTGTGCTTAAGAAAGCCCCAAACAACTAAAATACTTGTATTCCTCTTCAGACATTTTCTTCCCTGTGTTCTGATGTCATAACTTATTTCCCCTGTGATACTCAACTGTCTTGAACAAAACGTATAAAGACTCCTCAATGCAATACTAGCATGAACAACCACTTAAAAATCAGATCATTTTAGCAAACTTTTCATTTTAGCAAGAAAAAAGACTGGTTCTTATTGATTGCATTGCTCTTAATTGATTCATGGTTTGTTTAGATTTAGTCCTAAATTTGGTAAGGCACTTTAATTGAAACTAATGCCTTAATCAGATGCAACGGAGTTACTACTTTAACCATTAAAAAAACTGTCTTGATCCAGAATGTCCTATAATTATGCTTTCTACTCAATGGGAGGTAAATTGGCATTCGTAAACCATCCTACAAGCACTGACCTGTATTTTAGATTTCTAGGACTAAAACAGTACTGTTTAATATCAAGAGCTGTCTATTTCTAGCAAGAAATGCAATCAGATTATTCTGCTTTTGGTAGCCTTTTATTAAAAAAGGAAGAATATTTTCATTAGCTGTGTTCACAGTGAATACAGTTATTATATACTTGTATCAAGATATTGAATTTTTGGAATAGTTAAATCTGTGCTGCTATGTGCTGCTTCTTTACCCTTCATTTCTAAGGATGCCATGATGTACATGGGGTCATAGCATTTCACATCTCCTTTCCTGCTGCCCTGCATGCATAGTAGAAGAAAGCTTCTTAAACGAGACCCAGTATTTTCAGTGTGACCCCAGGTTAGTGAGAAACTTAATCCCGTCTTAGTTCTCCTGTGCTCTTCAGACTTCGCATCAAGGCTCCCTTTGCTGCTGGTGTTAAATTTGGCTGTTCTTTGCATGTCTTACTGTTGCCAATGCATTGTTTTGGCCAACTTGCAGTGGCCATTGCTCTTTCCTAATCTTAATTGTATCTTGCTTCTTCCCATGTTACTGCTTCTTTTTCAAATTGAGGGCCTCAGAACAAGCTGACAAATACAAATTACCTGTCCTCATCGCTCTTGTAGGTGAGATGTGGTGATTTCTGAGTAACTTGTGATACCCCAGTTTAAAATGACTGAGAAACATAATGTGCCGGTAAAAAAAGAAGCAACTGAAAGCAGTTAAATCTCAGTGAGCATGAGGAAGACAAATGAAAAATATCTAAAGGGAGGGTTTTTGTTTGTTTGTTTGTTTGTTTGTTTGTTGAGTAGATAGAAGTGAAAAGGAAGGAGAAAGCAGCCCTTTTCTTTCCTGAAAATCAGAACCAAAGAAGAGCCAGGTCTGAACCTGCTGGATGTTTGGTTTCTCAGAAGAGGTTAAACAAGAAGGGTTTAAGGAGAAAATACATGTATATATTATACTCCTTTTAA